CCAGCACCACCCGAATTTGATTTAGTACTGCTTAGAAAGACAGAAAAGAATGAGGCTGAAAAAGAAATATCGAAGATGCGAAGAGTACGATTAGGGAGAGATTTGACGTAGGTGAATTTCCCGGGTCGCATAAGACCATAAAAAGCAAGAAGAAAAACAGCTTCTAGCAGAGTGTCAGTGAAGAGTGAAAAACATCCATGACGAAGAACGGTGATCATAGATTTTAAAATACCCAAAGTGATAGGAAGTCTTTTATCAATGGGAGTGGGAGAAGATTTCTTAAAGCCTCTTAGTAAGAGACGAACAGAGGGGTTCGAAAACAGACTGGGTAAGGAAGGGTTGGAGCAGCGGGCGTGGAATTGAATACCTGCCACCAAACCGTGAATTGACGCCGGACTAAGGCATTTGTGCTCAAAAGAGTAAGTAAGAAAGGTGCAAACAACAGATGAGGAAAGAGGGAGTGCGGGTAGGCCAAAGGTGCGGCAGAAAGAAGTGAAAGCCTTCCAGGCAGAGTCGTAAGATTTTAGGGTAGAAGCAGAGAGACCTAATCTGATGTACCTAGTGGTTGAGTTCAGTAGGTGAATGTATTGCGGGTTTAAATTAGTATGAGGTCTGAAAGAGAGGGGCATGAATCTGGAAGGGTGTTGGCGCCTGGGCACAACCGACGGAATTCCTGAAAACAGAAACGCGACAGGGAGTCAGCTATTTGATTCTTAAAACCCGGAATGTATTCGGCCGTAAGAATAAAGTTATGCGAGAGTGAGAGCCAAGTAAGACGTCGTACAAAGGGCATAAAGGAGATGACCTTAGAACGACCCTTATTAATTATGAAAACAACAGCTTCATTATCGCACAACACTTTTATCCTCCTACGGGACCATTCTTTTCCCCATATAGCACAAGCGACTACAATGGGATACAGTTCATGGAAGGCAGAGGACGCTGGCATGGGATATAAAGTTACAAAATCCGCGGGCCAACGCGACGCGAACCAGGAGCCTCGATAATAACCGCCGAAACCGACAGAGGGTGCGGCGTCCGTGTAAAAACATAGAGAGTGAGACGTATCTGTAATTTTGTTGTAAAAAAACGAAATGCCATTCCAGTGATCGAGAAACGCGATCCAGAATTTAAGGTCAGAAAGACAGCCATCGTTTAAAATAAGCATGTCGTGCAACTCGGAAACCGATTTAGCCAGATCGAGTAGACGCGATATAAACGAGCGACCCTGCGAGATGATGCGCATGGCGAAGTTTAAGTGCCCCAAAAGGGAAAGCAATTCGCGTTTGGAGACCGAGGAAGAGTGCAGGAATGAGTGGCAGATTTCGCGAATGCGATTCAATTTGTCTAGCGGTAGAGAAGCTTTCATTTCAATGCTGTTGTAGCGGTCGTACTCTGGTTGTGTAGTTTTTCTTTTTTTTAATTATTTTTAAAACGATGACAACAAAGATGATCCCGATTCTTTTTTAATTCTGCAGAAACACATAGCACATGTAAGATGGCGCACAGCACAACATCTCTCCCTTCGCCCGTGTTCACATTTGCAGAGCGAGAGACAATTCACCCAGCCTCTCTGGCGGCAAAAGTTAATCTAACATGTCGCAGCGCGGCACGAGGCATCTTGTGTGTCGCTAATACGTGCTCCACCTAACACAAACACTACATATGTGGTTCCGCACAGTATAATTATATACACAGCATCTTATAATACAATATACAATCAACATAAAACGCACAAAAACAACACGAAAGTTTTGTGAAGTTCACATTAAATAAGTTGCAATTTTTAACTTGGCTACATGCTCCCCCCTGAACTTCACAAAATTCGTTCTTAAGGGTGAGCATCTATAGTAACCCTTACAGAACTCAAACTGCCAATTAGTACACGAGTCACAGCAGCACATGCTTCCCACTCAACAGAGAAAGTGATCCAAACGGGTTGATCAGGCCCGTTAAAATCAACTTGCTAACAAGGTGCCTTAAACACCATTATACAAAAGACTTCGGATACTATATGAAAATTCGTAACCTTCTAAACCTTTCCCAAAAGAGAATAGGCCAAAAAAAAAAAATATATATATATACGCACAAAGGGACTCACTAATATAAATTCAACCAACCTATAACAACAGA